CTGTCGAGGGTTGATAGAGAAACGCTTACTCGAGAGCAGCGTGAGGACCTCTCGATTAAAGCGCTAATGGAAAGCGTAAACTTGGGAAAAAAGAAAAAGAATGTTTTTTTTTTTGAGAAAGCAGGGCTTTTGTATCGGAGCTACGCAAATGCGCAAGGTCGCAAGTATGAGCAGCTCTTGGTGCCACAAAAGTATCGTCGCCAACTATTGGAACTGGCGCATGAAAACGCATGGGTGGGGCATTTCGGCTTAAAAAAGACCAAAGCTAGAGTTTCCCTTGAGTTTTATGAAATGCTAGAAGGATATCGAAGACTTTGTACGCTCATGCGACACTTGTCAGAGAGCGGGGAAATCCACGGACAAGTGGAAGGCACCCATGAAGCTTGTGCCAATTATCACAGAACCTTTTCGGCGCCTAGTAATTGATATAGTCGGACCATTGCCAGAGTCAAGGCAAGGTTGTCGATGCATCCTGACGGCTCTCTGTGTAGCCACAAAATTTCCGGAAGCGATACCACTTAAGGAGCTCAATTCCCCTCATGTCGTGGATGCACTGCTATCTATATTTGCACGCATCGGATTTCCTTGTGAAATCCAATGCGACTATGGTAGTGTCTTCACTAGCTGCCTTACCTCTACCTTTTTGGATAAATGCGGAATAAAAGTAGTGCACAGCTCGATCCATCACCCGCAATCTAATCCGGTAGAGCGTATGCATTCCGTTCTAAAACGGATACTGAGAGCTCTTTGCTACGAGCACAAATGCGACTGGGAAGCGTGTATTCCTCCCGCTATGTTCGCTTTGAGATCAGCTCCTCATGAGAGCACTGGTTTTAGCCCTGCATAGCTTGTGTATGGCAGGAGTTTAAGAACACCATTGCGAATGCTACGCGAGTCCTGGGAGGGATTCGATGAGGATCCTATTGTAGTTGCATATGTTCTAGACCTCCTTCAGAGGCTTGGAAAAACGAAATATCTTGTGGAAAGCCACATGAAGGCTGCACAAATATTGTCGAAGGAGTACTACGACAAATCGGCAAAGAAGCGCGCTTTTGAAGTAGGAAGTCAGGTAATGCTGCTGCGGCCGTCCAAACTAATATCGAAGCTTTCTGATACCAATTATGAAGTGAAATTAGGAAGGCGGCCAAACAAAATTTACCACAGTAACTTGACGAAACCATACGTTCAACGTCAAGCGGTCGTAAATCTGCTGTTGAATGCTTCAGAGGAAGAGGGAGAAGAAATCTTGAGTTCTAGTGATGTAATCGAAAAGGGATCAGAGGTAATCTTGGAGCAGTTGAACCTAGAGCCTAGGTTAAGTGAAGTCCAGAAGGAGGACCTGAGAAGGAACGTTTCCGAGTTTCAAGACGTGTTTTCGGACTGACCCAGAAACACGACGGTGATCGAACACGATATCAAGCTAACTTGTGAGGAGCCAATCCGTAGCAAGCCGTATCGCTGTTCCCCTGTGCAAAAGCAGATTATGAAAGAGGAAATCGATAAAATGTTGGAGTTGGGAGTCATAGTACCGGGCGAGAGTGACTATACATCCCCTCTAATATTGGTTCAAGTGCCAGGAAAAGATCCGAGGCCATGCATCGATTATCGGCGTCTTAACGCCATAACTCGAGACCAAACTTACCCGATACCAAACCTAGAGGAGAGGGTGGAAACTGTGTCACAGTCCAGCTATATTTTCTCGTTAGACCTCTTGCGAGGGTATTGGCAAGTCCCCCTTACGGAGCGTGTTAGCCGCTATGCCGCATTTGTTTCTCCAGTTGGAACGTATCGTCCACTTTAGCTGAGCTTTGGATTGAAAAATGCGCCCTTTTGTTTTTCAGGCTTAATGGACCGCGTTCTTAAAGGCCTCTCTGAGTTCACTCTGCCGTATCTTGACGATGTCGCCATCTTCTCAAACAACTGGGAAGAACATATCGAGCATTTATGCATCGCGCTGAACAGGTTGAAAGAAGCTGGTCTTACCGTGAAACCTACTACATGTCACCTAGGGTGCGGCGAAGTGTCTTACCTGGGACACATTGTGGGGCGTGGCCGGCGTAGACCTTCAGAAATTAAGGTAGCCGCCGTCGTGAACTATCACGACCAACCACAAAATCTGAGACAAGGGCATTCTTGGGCCTGGCTGCATACTATCAGCATTACGTGCAAAGTTACGGTAGCATTGCCAGCCCTCTAACTGACGCACTTCTAAAATCCGAGCCGGTTAAAGTAGTATGGGACTCAGATAAGGAGAATGCGTTTTGCCAGCTAAAACAGGCCCTAAGCGAAAAGCCTTTTCTCATGGAACCCGAGAGATTTGTGATTCAATGCGACGCGAGTGATCGCGGCATAGGCGCTGTATTGTGCCAGGAAGACAGTGCTGGTAACGAAAGGCCAGTTTTGTATTTAAGTCGAAAACTCAGCGCCAGGGAAGAGGCATACAGTACCTCTGAAAAGGAATGCGCTTGCCTCGTGTAGGCCGTTCAAAAGCTAGCATGTTATGTCTCCGGTTCGAGGTTTGTGGTCGAAACGGACCTCTGTCCTCTAACCTGGTTCAATAACATGTCGCCTAAAAGTGGCCGGTTACTGAGGTGGAGCATGATACTCCAACAGCACAACTTTGACGTACGCTACAAAAAAGGAAAGCTAAACGCTAATGCAGACGCATTGAGCCGTGCGTTTAGTTAGTACCTTCTCCACCTTTCGGTTTCTCGCTGACGATTCGGGGCAAACTTTTGTCCTCACCACGGCCTTAGCTGAGCGCTCTCGTCCAGAATGAGCTCATGGAGCCAACTTTATGCTCTATTCTATTTCGTTACGTTGTTGTACGTGAAAAAAATGAGTTCTCATTTTAAGAGTCTTGTGTCTCATATGTGCCTCTTGATGTAGAGGGAACGAAATTCCGATAGACACGTAGCTGGGTATATGTTGTACTATACTTTGTCTGGTGTTCTGTCGGGTGACCGAGGGCACTTGCTTTTGTCGTGTGTTGTCTGTTGTCGAACCGTTCTTGACAAGTTGCAGAACCATCGACAAGTGCTGAGACCCAAAGATCGTCAGAAGAGACGAGCGAAGCTGGTCGACAAGTCGTGGCGATGCGCCAGTGGAGCTGGCATCCGTCCTCAAGAATGGGATGTGTTCCCGGAACAGAGTCTGGAGCTGCATTCTCCCCATGGCCCTGGAGGCGAACCTGAAGGGACCTGGCGAACGAGCGCGCCTGACATCCGAGCCACGTGGAAGCAGCTCGTCTTTCCGGCACATTGTCTGGCAGCGGGGGTGCTGTTATGCCTGCGAGTCCACACCGAACGTCCATGCCTCTGAAAGGGGCAATCTGTGTCAAGGCCAGCACGCGAGCCCGCCTGACGCGAACAACTCAACGGCGCCATCACGCGGCGGTGCCTTTCTGTCGCGCACGCACAGCGAGCCCGTCGAAGCAATCGGCGCCTTCCTGTCTGGCGAATCTGACGCAATGCGTGGTGACGTCACTCGTCCTTGGGTGCAGCCACGTGCAGCACAGTGGCTCCGGTTTCGATGAAAATGACGCGGCCCAGTGGCGACCGCATTGGAGGATTCTGACCTCACGACCAGCGGCACTTCTGGTTGGACATTTGGTTACTCAAAGAATCCACCTGGTGCATATAAAAAAAAAGCCCTGCGGCGCGTCGCGAGCAGCAGACCTATGTGTTGAAGAGGAGAGCTCGGCTCTTCGCTTCTCTAAGCTGTCGGCCCCAGTGCCTAATTTGTGACGCCTCTGTATATATGCTGTACATTAACCTTGTTTAACTCACCGTCATCTCGTCCACTCGTCTATCAGCTCTGCGCAGAAGCAGTCGCGAGCTGAGAAACCTACGCTACCAAACGGCTGGTGACCTTCCCGGCGGAGTTCAAAGCAGTGGCGCCTTCTGGACCGTGTTGGCGTCGCCGTCTTTCGTAACAACGTGCAAGCTATGTATACTGCACAGTGAACGCTGAACAACACTTCTGAGAAAAAGTGCTTATTGCTACGACGTTAGCGTCGAACCGGGCTACCGAACGCTAGTAGCGGCATCTTATGAAACTTTGTATAACTAATAACTGCAGTAGCTGACAGTTGCGTTTTTTTTTCTGTTCCGCGAGTATTATGGTGAAAAAAAAAAAACGTGCTCATGGTTACGTCGTGGCAAAGAAACATTTTACTGCATCCGCTCAAGATTTCTTTACGAGCGTACATTCACTCATAATGCTCGAACGACATCAGCGTATCATGCATGAAATATCAGACTCTCGATTTACCATCTATTTCGTATAGACGTCGCAACTTCAGTATTATATTTTATCACTATTTTGACCCATACATTTTAACTGTGCCCTCGTACTCGCGCAATATATCTGACCACTGGCACGAGCATAGTTCATCGCTTAAATGTCGTTCGCCCCTAAATGCGCGCTCAGATTATCCTCATTTTTTCCCCCTTCTTCAATTGTATACTGGGACGGCCTCCTTAAGACATCGCTGCCATCACCTGCACACCTGCTTTCACGAGGAAAAATGAATGCGTTTTCCTCATCTTCATAATGTTTCAACTTTTTAAATCCCACTACTCATGTAGCACTCCATCGTCTGCGGGGTCCTTGAGGAATAAATGATTGCACGAATGAATAATGCACTAGGTGAACACATGTCTGAGCTCTATACCACCACACGGCGTCGCTATCTCGGCCGGTCACGTTTACGTCACCGGTTAAACGGTATTGCGCAAACGGCGCAGACAAACCCCAACTGTATCCTGTTGCGCAGTCTTCATGGCTGCGTGGTATCTGGGGCCGGTCAATTGCGTGCGAACTGTCCTACATACTCTTTCAACTTAGGAGACCGCAAAAAGAGCCAGTGGGCAGTTTTAACACCTCAAAACTTCCACAAAAAAATTTGCAGCTTGCTTGACAGCATCTGTGTCCGCTGTCCCGCCATCCAGCAGTTGCTGGGACGGCTCTGTACGGTCAGACACAAATACGGAGGCGTGTTACACAGCAGTCGAACCTTTTATTTCAAATAAAATGTTTTATTTATATATATTTATATAATGACATCACAAATGTAAAAAAAAAGGCGAGAAGGAAGACAATAAAAAAGTGGTGGCTGCCTCTTCTTAAATAAGGGACACAATGAGAAAAAAAACAAAGAGGCAGATTCAAAGTAGCAATGACAGACGATAATAATCATTGGACAAAGTAGTAAAGTGACTGTGGTCTTTAAACAATGATGCAGACGGAAGGAAAAGGCGGAAGGAAGGTGACGCCATCCATGTGCCCTCCTGTAGGCGGAGGAAGATAGTCAGTTCCTCGCCATCGGAAGCGTAGGAGAAACGACAGATTGAAGGCCAAACAATTCTAGTAAATCAAATGCAAAAAAAAAATGTCATGTACAAGCATCTGTAAAGCTTTGCAGGGGCTGGATGAGCACGCTTGAATCACTGCTTTTGTCATCACATTCTTTTAGTTCATTACATCGTTCATGTGGAGAGAACAGCAAAAACTTATATGTTCTACGAAAGTGAAAAAAAATTATGACGCATAAAAAACAAAAGAAAGAGTAAGAGAACAGCGACGATATACATTATATATATAAAAAAAGAGGAATCGCGTTTTTTTTTGCTTTTTTTTGCACTTTCACGCACGGTATTCACAAGATGCGACAACTCGTTTTCGGCCATATTGCTTTTTTTCTGCTCTTGCCCCAGCCACCATGGAGCAATAACTGTTGCTCCTTCACTCTGTTGTTATGTGTGTAAAAGCTTAGCGCGATGCGCAAGTGTGTAATACGGAGTGTTGTGAATGTGCGAGTGGGCACGACGCGCACATGTACGTGTGTGGTTTGAATGGTGTGGCGCTCTTTTTGAAAGAGCGCATCGCGATCCTTGTTTCCTGTCTCAATGTATATAATATATATGTATATTTATATATAGCACGGGAGGAGGGCAACACCTGCGGCCAATGACGGTCGCGGTGGCTCGGCCAGGCCGAGCAACGTGTCCAAACCAGAGTGGCTCTGGTTTTCGGGTGAGGGAGCGCAAAAGTTATGCGGAAACGTCACGGTGCTATACAAGGCTTAAGTCAGAGAAAAAGTAAACGCACTAAAATAAAAAAAAACTGCGCCTCAATGAGATGCATCGCTGCTTCTGCCATAGCCCCTATTTTTCTCCCCTGTCACTTTTTGCACAAAGCACGTGGTAACGGTTGTTTAAGTTCACAAAAGATCAGCCGAATGTTCATCACCCCCCCCCCTCCCCCCCTTGCCCCGGGACTCGACAAATTGCAGTGCCTTGCTCTGCCAGCAAAAATTTACAACCATTCTTTCTCTAAACATAAAATACTGATACCGAACTACCAAGTGGTCGCGTGAGCGAAGTTCGCTCACGCCGGACATTGCGATCGCATGTAACTACATGTAAAGAAAAAACAGGATAAAAAAATATGGGCAGCTGGGATGACAAAATGCGGCACACAGAAAGAAAGCGTAGGCGTGTTGTTGGTGTTTTTCTCTCCCTTTTCCCCCGGAATTCCTCCGTAATACGCGTGCAAGATCAGTCTGCTCTCGCAAGAATGTGCGACGGCTTAACTGCCGACCATACAGTGTTGAGGTTGGCTTCTCTGCATGGAGCCTACCCGAACTCGCTGAATCCTTCCTTAGCCACTCTCGTCCGAAGAAAGCGAGGAGCACGACTGTCGCCCCAGCGAATCTTAAATGTGCCACCTTGACGTGATCGAACATTCTCTTCCGACCCAATGCTGCCTCAACAAATACCTTTCCTGCCTTTTGTAGTTGCATAGCGGTCCCAGTGTTCAGACTACGCGAACTCTTGACGAACCTGTTGTATCTTTGTCAGTCAAAGCATGGAACTACAGCCGCTTGCGACAAATGGAGTGGCGCCTGTTTGTTTCCTGTCTCGCTGCTGGACTGACATTACAAGCACGGATCAGATCTTAGGTCTCACGATAGAAGTAAAGACATATGTACAAAAAAAAAAGTACACGAGGAATAAGATGGACAATCTTTTCATTTCCAGACCACAAAACAAATGCGGAAGCCAAGAGAAAAGCAATTTAAAAGAGAAAGCATGAAATAATAAGCTCAGAATGTCTCGCGGATGTCTGATGAAGGGGTGTTTTCTTTCTTCTTTTTTTTTTTCTCCAGCTGCTTTCAAGAGCTGCAGTCCCGCGTCTCGCAGTGATTCTCCTCCTCCCTCTCGTCTTCTGTCGGCGGCTTCGCCCACTCAACAACCGCCGGATGGCATTCTTATTGCAGGCTACCCCGAACAGACAAAGCCGCGCGGCCTCACAAACGACGGCGGCGGCGGCGACCGACAGTGAACAACGCCCGATGTCCTCCTTCACCAACGGCTGCGACGCATGCGTCCCCGATTTTTTACCACGGGACAAGCATTGAACCTCCTTGAATGGTTCCCATAGCTTAGTGGGCTACTGGCGATCCTCCTCATTGACCAAAAAGTGGGTACCTACCACCAAATTTCTTTATTAGAAAATTTGTTCCATTTGCGACCCACCACTGCTGAACTAATTGTCACACTCGGCCACGGGTCGTAAATGGGGCCTGCTCTAATGTTTGCCCTCCTTCTTCGTCAGCGGTCTCGATGACACACTCTCCCCCAGGTGGATAGCAATCAGATTCGTAAACCGTCAGCACTCAACTATATGGCTTTCCGAGAGGTGTTGTGTTGCTCCCACGGGCCCTCACTTTCCTCACACTGCCGGCGCGTGACGTCAAATGGCTGTGGTAGCAGAGCTTCGGCAGGGGAGGTGCGTAGGTTGCTGCTGCTGCCGCCGTTGATTGCGGCCTCCCCCTGGGACCCGGGTTGAAAGAGCACGGGATGCAGACGCTGCAGTGGGTCGCGGTCCGGGGCGAGGGTCGGGAGGGGGCCTTGGGAGTTCGGGAGGAGGAGGTGCGTGCGCGCTCGCTGACGGCCGCTCGAGGAGGAGAGGCGTCGTCATCAGACCTTGATGGCGGCGCGCACCTTGCCCTTGCGCACTGTGGCCGGGGAGCCCTTGAGCATCTTCAGGCAGTCCTGCTCACAGAGCACGTTCCCGTTGACGAGGTTGTACCGATCGCCAGGCACCAGCTGGCTGTGGCACTTGACGCAGGCGAAGCACTTGACGTGGTAGACGTTCTGCGCAGCCCGCATCACGTAGTCGTTGGCCGGGATCATCTGGCCACAGCCCGAGCAGGCACCCGACGTGCCGAACAACCTGCGAACAGAGGGGAAAATGCTAATTACCAAACAGTCTTTACACTAAAGTAGGGTATGTCCTGTTACACAACTATCGGACGATCAGCCCGTGTTCAAAAGAGATATGCTTAAAAGGATTTATGCTGCTTTGCATTGTTTTCACGAGATGTAAAACCCGTGCACACTGAAAATCTTCTGCAGGAGGACAAAACTTTATTTGTTAAAGAAACGAACACAAAGTCCCTTATAGCCCAGGACTCCTACTCACAGAGGAGACTGGGCCCGCCACGACACAAACCCACGCTGTTCATGCGGATCTCAGTGTAGCAAGAATACACATCCATTCACTGTTTAGGAGTCCTGGCTGCGTGGGGACGTTCACAAATGACGAGGCAAGGCGAGACATATTACTCCCAGTCGGGGCATATGTCTGCAGCCCTAGCAGAAATAAGCGTCTTGTACCTTATCTGATCACGACCACCACCACCACGTGGCTAGGCGAAGCTGCGCGCCTTCTTTCTTCATGGGGAGAGAGCACAGCGCCACGTCAAAATGCCACGCACTGCCACGGGTGCATGTGCTCAGGCCTTTATCGCCACGCTAGACGCATGAGAGAAATTAGTGTGGTATTCACAGGTTCGTCGAGGGAGCACGTAGGGTAAATTTTAGTATTACTTTGGAGGGATGTGGACTCCTTTTTAGTGGCAATGCAACTGGAAAGCCTGGAATTCCGGCAATGATATTGGAGAGCCTGAGATCGTGACTGAGGACGGGCAACACGGCATTCTTGTTGCACAATACGCACAACAGGTGCAACTTTGACGCGCTAAGACTTAAGAACGAAACAGTAGATCTGCAAGCTGCGGCCTACTTCGCGAAGAGGATAACGAACTAGTGAGACATGCGCAACCGAGCGCGACTGCTACCTACCCTGAACACAGTGAAGTGAAGAAGTTCGTGACGCTGGGCAGGATGCCAGCGTGTCGGTCGAGCACCTGCTACGGTGGTCACACAAATTCCCGTGAGTCATATATGCTTCTACTGGTTATATTTGCCGCCACGGTGGCAGGAAGCATAACTAGGAAAGTTGCTGAACGTCCAGAGCAATACCTTACAGGAACAATATTCTACTAAAAAGTGGCGGTATATTTACGCAGTGAAACAAACTAAACGCTCTTTTTGCAGTAGAAGCAACGGCTGTGTATAATAAATACATAAGTAAAGAGCACGAACACAATCCTACGTGCGTACGAGCCTCACTATTCTAGGGAAGCCGTCAGGAATCCTGACCAATCAACAGTAAAGAGTGAAAAAAAAAATCTTCACTACACAGTCACTGCGACCATTCTATTCTGAAAGGTGAGGCACCCGCTCAATCTCACTCCTTTTTGCAACCACATATCCCGCACGCCTTGTCCAACTACGTACCACACACCTGTCAAAAAAACTTCAATTCCGTCCACACCGCAAAACAGTCACTCATCTTGGTGTGTAAAAGAAGTTCGTAAAAAGAAGACAGGGTGTACACAACGAGGTCTAAAAAAGAATAATAATAACAATAATAATAATAATAAAGAAAACGTCTGGACTGCAGGAGGAGAGTGCGACTCATTTTGGTACGCCACATTATCATTACTTTTTTTATTTTGCTGAGACAGAATGGAAAAGGGGGGGGGGGTGAGCTCATCCTGAATGCAGTGAAGGATCGAAAGGTGCGCTGGCGCACTTTTCGGGCCAGACAATGACGCGCAGCCCCGAGCAGGATCGACCAATCTTTCCTACGGCAGCCGCTGGTGCGAGATACAGGCGCGTCCAAATTTCCGACGTCCAGGGGAGCCGGCGGCTACATCGCCGAGGCCCGTGTTGTTCCTCCGTAGCGACGAGACCCTGGTCCGCCCGCCGCCATGTTGCACAGCCTCTCTTCGCACTCCTGCCGTGGACGAAGATCTCTCGCCTCTGCATTTCCTTTGTGGCGCCCAGAGCAGCGGAAGCGACGATAGTTGGCCGCGGCGCTCTCCTCGAGGCTCCCAGTTGTAAAATGAGATCGGGTAACACGGAATGAAGCTCTGCCTCCGTGCCTCGCTCGCCGACGCCGCGCTGTTGTTGTTATTACCATTATACATATAGGCGGCTGCCCCTCGATATGAGATTTCGCTTCCCCCCTCCCCCTTTCGGCGCCCGGCGCACCACAATCTTCCCTCCCCGCTGCCACTCGCGCACGCCCGCTCTGTCATGTCGCTGTTTTCCGTCCGCGCGCGCGAGGAACAGTAGAGGGAGAGAAGGAAACCAATTTCGGTGATCGGGGGCGGTCGAGGGGAGGGGGGTGGCGGCGCGGCGGCCGGTGATATATATATATTGATGTATATCTCTATATATGAGAAAGAGAGACAGACAGACGTACTAGTATAGTAGTGGCGTTGGTGCCACCGTTCACCGGCGGGATCCTATCTCGGGGCGTCGGGCGACGAGGCAAAGAAGAAAAAGAGGGAGGCGCTGTGCGCGTGTGTGCGCGCACACGAACACACACACACGCGTAGGTTCGGAGCAAATAATACGCGCCACACAAGCAAGCAAGCCCTCGGGCGAGATACGCGGGCCCCAAGTAATATGGGTTGCGTTCGGAGGTCCCCCTCGGGCACTCCTAAATTTCGTCCCTCCCCGCTTCTGCCCCACGTTTTTTTTTTCGTGTTTTCTTGCTCCGCGTACCTCCTCCGTTCTTCGCCATCTTTCTTCGGCAACACGCACGCGCCGGCGACAACGGTAAAGCGCGCGCATGTGCCGCACGGGTTCCGCGTCCTTCGTCAACCGCCAGAGTTGATGGACCACGCTTCGCGTAAGGTCCAATACCGACAGGCGCGTCTATGGTGCAGTATACGCGCCAGCTCGCGTCCCACACTTACGCACGTTAAGGCCGCGCTGGCCCGGCTTTGGCGCCCCACATTACAGCACCGATTCATCGCTCACGGCTGAAGGACGCCGTCGCTGTGACCGAATGTGCCTGCGCACGGAACGTTTGGCTCGACTGCCGTCGTAAAAACAGCTATCGCGACGCAAAATCGCGACAAAGCTCAAAACCTGAACTGACGATGTAATGGCCCACATGATGTGGGCTGCTAACCACTGTGCAACAACCCGTAAAACAAAGCGTTTCGTTTATTTCGCACCTTCATTTGTAGGCTACACCACGCAAATGGATAGATTTAAGCAGTAACGAAGGTACTCACCCGACAACAGCGCCACTACGCACAGTGTAGTGCGAGGAAGCGCACTTTACTATTGCGGTAGAAATTATATGGACACTCGGCTGGATTATGCCGCCGCCATCACTCACCGTATTATATATATATTGTAATGACGAAAACCGAAACTGGAACTCTCTCTGGCACAGACTCGCATGCTAGGAGGAAGCCGAGGAAGACGAAGCAGAATAAGAACAGCCGGCCTGCAGCAAAGGCGTTGTGTCTTATTTCTCGTCCTTACAATGGCGCAGTCGACGAAGAAAACGGCTTACGTCCCGGCTTCGTCATCCAGAACGCCCGCCGACGTGCAGCCGCGGTAAGCGTCGCTTGAGGACGGCGTCAAGCCCTCCTCGGCAGCTGTTCACCTGCCGCCACTGACACCACCGTTCGGGGATGGCGCCAAGGCCTCCTCGGCGGCTCTAGTATACCCATCACCGGTATTTCTTCATGAAAAGGGACACCGTCTACGCGTCCTTCGCCACGGATTGTGCCGTGAGCACAGGTCCACAAGTGAACCCTGCGGCACAAGCCACCTGTCCGTACCCTCGTGGATCATCGGCAGCGTGGTTCTCTCATCGTAAAAACGCTGTTCACGCTTCCTCGATCATGGAGCCGACAGCCCTCCTGCAGCCGGGAGCACCTGTGCCGCCATTCGGGGACGGCGTCCAGGCCTTCTCGATGGCTCCTGGGCAGGCTTGCCCCGGCCCCACCACGACAGTACATGGCCTGTCGTTGACCGGGAATGCCGTTCACGCTTCCCACTGCGACAACGTCCTGCTCAGTGCTTCATCGGCACCTCAGCCGCTCAGGGGTGCTGTTCAAGCTCCCTCGGCCGAGGGTACCACAGCAGTGAGTACGCTGATCGGGGAACACGTCCCCACTGGCTCCGCATGTGGGCCGCCCGAGAGTGCCACCGAGCTTTCGCGCACCATTGCGCGACTCCGCCTCGAGGTCGGCGCCCTGACAGCGTCGAGTTCTGCGATATTCCCTGCTGCCTTGCCGGGACTTCACATTATCGATGAGGCGTTGGCCGCGGCCGCCTCGCAAGACCATTCAACAACTTCCCCCGAGAGCCGCAGCAAGCTCCAGTATACTCTCGCGGCTCTTTCACACCAACTTGGCTGTGTGGCGTCGCTATTTTCTGGAGCTTCGCCTGCCGTGACACCACCACCGGCTGCCTCCGAGCTACCCGAGTTTCGCGGCTTCCAGGACGATGCCGTCGATTGGGTGGCTACCATCAATGCTCTCGGAGCTCGCAAGGGATGGAGCGACAATCAGAAGTGGTGCGTGGCCTTAGACCGCCTTCAAAATCCTGCTGCTGCGTGGCACAGGTACGAAGGCGTGCGGCAGCAGTCCTGGGCGGACTGGAGCGCCAAGCTCATTGCTGCGTTTGGAAGAATTGAGTCTGACCTCACTGCTACCTCTCATTCTACCCTCGCCACTACCGAGCAAGGGGCTATTGAGAAGCACAACGACGAGGCAGCTGCACCCTCTGCCAACCTGCCCTACCTCGGAGATCAACCTCACGAGGCGCCGCGCCCCCCTACAGCTGTGCCGCGTGCCCCCTCCCCGGACAGCTTCCCAGAGTACCCTGCGGCAATCATCGAGACAAGCTGGACGGTGTACTCCTCCGGGCAGATCTCTGACTCCGCGTCGACACCTGACACACAATTACCTTTGACCCATAGTAAGGAGCCGCACCATCCCCTGCCACCTTTGCCGTCATTGGCCGAGTGCGTGGACGCTCGTAACTTGCCAAATGCCGTCTCCCCTAACGAGC